CTCCACCCCTCGCCCTGAAGATTTCACCTCTAAAGGAAGCAGGATAAATGCTTAGGTTGTAGGAATACTCGGGTATTTAGGGGTGGAGTCCTCAGCTAGGAGACACGACCCGCTTCCATCCTCTTCTTTGCCTCTTACGCAACATGTCTGACTCATTGCAGAAGAGGCTTTTTTTTTTTTTTCTTTGCTCCAGCTTCTCTGCATCCCCTGATTTCCTGCTGTTCTCTAACTCCCCCCGCCATCCTGTGTGCTCCATTAGCACTCAGTCTCAACATGGAATCATGCATTGCATACAGTGGAGGAGCCTCTGCACATGTGCGGTTTACACCAGCCGACTGTAAAAGCTAATTTCACAAAACACTGCCATCTTTTTTTTCTTCCAACGGCAGATTTTTAGGTCACATCTTATGGGGATATTTTTTTGAATAAGGAATAGATATTCAGGACTTCAGAGTGACACTTAAATGAAATTGTGATGCAGCGTTGATGCTCAGTGAGCGGGAGGGTTGTCATTGATTTGCCCTTCTCATGAAGCTGCCCGTTGCTGCAGCCAGTTAACCAGAAACGGAGGGAGTCTGCACAGAAAAGGACGACTTCTGTAAAAAATTAAGCTAAAATGTTTGCGATTTCCAAAATTTCAGGCCATATTCCTGTTTAGTTGTTATTCTCTGAGTGTAGCAACTGCTGCAAATATTAGTTTGTTTTCCAGAAAGCCGCTGGTGTGGCTTTTTTCCTGCAGCATTCAGGAACCTTTCTGTGTTCTTATGCCTGTTTGGCCTTTTTAAAGGATTTAGTGAGTGAAATGATGGATGAAGGGAAACAGATGGGATAAAGACAAGATGGCAGATCTAACTAGGCCTGTCTGATTTACTGGTTCCTGTGGGACAGGGCTGGCATGAGGAAATTGGATTGGATGCTTTTGCTACCTGGCTAAAATTAGCAACAGTGTTTGATGCACATTAATGTAGGTGGAAATGAGGCGCTGAGTGGAAATTTGCTTTGATAAACATGAAAATGAGGATTTTACCTGAAGTTATAGAAATTGTGTTCTGCTGTTAGAAAGCTCTGCGTGAAGAACAGCGGAAACCAGCTATTTATAGTGACCCCCCCCCTTTATATTCCTCCATACACGTCCACTTGAATCCTCTGTCCTGGCGCCTGGAGGAGCTCTGTCACAGTGATGACGCGCCGCTGCCCCCTCCTCTCTTTTTCTCCCTTTTTACTCCTCTTTTCATGCTCTCCATCTTCTCCTCCTACCACTTCCGGCTGAGATGCTCAGCTCGGCGTAGAGCTTCGCTACCTCTCTTTAACACCTTTTCCAGCTCATTTCTTTCTTTTTTTTTTTTCTGCATCACTGCGGTTTGCTATAAGCTTTATTTATAACC